TTCAATCCCTTTCATGGTTTTTTGTTCCTATATTACACCTCGACTTGCTGCACTTCGTTATCATTTTTTATTTTATTTTTCAAAAATGCCATTATATTTGCCGCTACACCAATCAGTTTTAGCTTCTGACTACATCAGATGTGTTAATCTACAAGAAACTACAAAAAAATAACAGACAACCAAGGCTTTGGGGAATGTAAACATGATTTTATTAGACAAAGTGTTAAGAAAATGGACCTTGGGCATATCTCAACACCAAAAACATAACTCATAAAGTGAGGATTTCCCATGACAGCGGACAACAGTCTATTCTCTCAACCAATGCGAGACACTTTCTACCCCCTCCCACAGACGCCCAAGGTTGAAACATTTGAGGTGTGAACAACATAACATCAGGGCTAAAAACCGAGTAAAACCAAGAATAAGGATAGATCTGGCTCTAATACCATGTGAAAGAGTCACCGCATCGAACCAAAATTTTTAAGGCAATGGTTGGAATAGGGCAAAATCATTTAAACCCCTTACAAAATTGATGACCGACAAGTGTTGCATTCTCTAACACTCTCCTTGCTCCAATTCTAAGGCTTTGCACATGTATTTGATTTGTTTTGACTTTCCTTTTTTTTTTTAAGCTGAGAGAAGAGTTCAACAGGAGCGGACCTTGAGTATAGAGAGAGATATTACGCTCAACAAGCTAATAAGTGTTTTTGGAGAAACATTAATGGATTGATGGGTTAAATTAAGGATCCCCCCCTCTGGGGGGGGGGGGGGTGCATATAATGGATTGAGTTGAGAGAAGAGAGAGAGAAGCCAAGAGCGATAAAAAAACGTGAACAAAGAGAGTTGGTGTGAAAATAGGCTCATCAAACATTGATATAATGGACCTTGGGTCTAACTCAACCCCAAAAGCTAGCTCGATGAGAGGATTGTCCAAGATATATAAAGGACAGCAACACATTCTCTCAACCAATGTGGGACACTTAAAACAAGAAATTAGTACCATGCCTATAACATGAACCAGACCTAATAGCAAGTAATAGAAGGATTAGCATAAGCATTTATTCTGAATCCATGTCAAATAAAACTTCAAATAATTAAACTTGCTTCGATTGAAATCCTCTGTTCTAGGGTGTCATTTAGCGTAGACATCCATTAAAAATGTTTGGTAAATTTACCATTAACCAGATCATAAATACAGAAGTTCAACTTCTAGGGAGTAGCTTGCTCCAAGGAATTAGTAGAAGAAACTAATGCATATGAATAGAGAATAAAAAACCACTACCGACACATAAAATTAAGATTAAAGAAAGTTTATTATATGATAACATAATTTGAAATAAAACACAGACAGCCATGAATATGACTCATTCAAACAAACCTGTCCGTCTTCTCGTACCCTTAGATTCTGTCCTGTTGGATCAAGCAAATCATTGATGACCTAAAATGAATGTAAGGTCAATCTCAATGCATTGGAATTGAACCCTAAAATGAGAAATGAAGACACCATCATGTACCAATATGCTGAGTTTTCAATTTTATTTTGCTAATTTGTTTAAAATGCAGCATGAAACCCTTTAACATGTGCCTATTTGAGCAGCTTATCACCTTGATTTTATCGTAGATGTTGCTCTGATGAGAACAAAAGCTACAGCTAAAATCAAACTAGTGTCTCGCTTACCTCATTGTATATTTCAAGATAGGATACGCGAAGGAGAAACTCCCGCCCAGGTGTCTGATACAATACATTTGAAAGTCAGCTATAAATTAGAAATGTTCTCTAAATAGTATTAAAGTTCATGAAACTACAGAATCAATTTTTACTAAGCCGTGAAAACAGGGTAGCTAGTACCTCTTGTATAATGCCAAAGACATCCTTCACTGCTAGTGGAATAATACCGGGAGACTTTTGCTCTCCCTATATAACATGAGAGGCTTAGCAAAATGTTACAGATGGAAAGGGATATATTTCTGTCCAACTTGACCACGGAGCTAACAAATAACTCTTACATTCAAGAACCAGCAAATAAAATCAAAATCAAGAAACAAAGTTTGCATATCAATACTGGAGCTAACAAATAACTCTTACATTCAAGAACCAACAAATAAAATCAATATCAAGAAACAAAGTTTGCATATCAATACTGGAGCTAACAAATAACTCTTACATTCAAGAACCAACAAATAAAATCAATATCAAGAAACAAAGTTTGCACATTCATACCACTTGATTGAAAATCACTCCTGTGAGTGCAATGAACAAGCATTCTGCATGAAACAAACCTCTTGTATGGTGACACCCTTTTTAAATGTTTCTTCCAAATATGGCTTTGTATAGAGTCAAAGTGGCCACTCACCAACAATTAAGCACTCACCCCTTCCCAAAGAAGTAGCTTTGATAGTTTACGCGAACGATACCGATTACAGGCAATGCTAATGAAAAATCATCAGCACTTAAATCTGCTGGAGGTGAAATTTGATATATATATATATATATTAGTTATTCACTTATTCTACGGTTTTCTTGTCTATATTTTTGTAAACACTATTTAATTCTCCAATCACTTGAGGAATAATCAAGAAGTTCATTCTCCAAATCTCTTCTTTCTCCTTTTTCATATTCTTTGTAACAAAATCTTGCCTATACAACTTTGCAAACATTAGTTCCTTTTAGATGGTTGCGTGTTTAATTTTTCACTGCAAGCAAATTGACTAACATGTTGGATGTATAATCATTTTCAAAATGTCTACACTGTTGGATCTATCATCTTAATCAAGTGAACACACCAAAAAAGCATGGCGGGAATTAAAATGACTAATGAAAACTTAACGAAATGACTTACATGCATTGTATGAGTCTTTCCGCTGCTAGTTACACCATAAGCAAACACAGTTCCTGCAAAACATTTAAATACAACAAAGATAACTGTGAGAAAGCACGGGAGAAAATATTATTGATATTATTCTCATATGTTAAACATGATACAAT